TTTATTCTCTTGGTGCAAGAAGATCTGAGGCCTGGTGGTAACTTCTCGCTTGAAACCCTGGGCCCCAGATCCTGGGGCCTCCATGGCTTTAGCTTCCTCGCACCACTCTGGATGTGAGTCTCTTCCATTTCTGATACCTGGGAATTTTCTGTTTCCAGCCTGGGTGTGATGAGGGATTGTTTGGGGTTATATTTTCTCCTGCATTTTAGCTCCACATTTTTCCTGGGACACACACCCCATTGATGTCTGCACCGCCGCAACTGTAGATCATACAGTCTCATGTTCCTGCACTAGCAGAGGCTTGCTGTTGTTTATTCAGTCAACAAACACCACTGAGCCAACAGGTTTACAGTGCTAGGTTTACAGTGCTAGTTGTTTACAGTGCTAGTTTACAACTAGGTTTACAACTAGGTTTACAGTCTCTTGGAAAAGAGACTCTACCAAGCCTGCCCTCCAAGAACTTAGCATATAAAGAGGAAGCATGCTTGAGTGAGACAGTCAGAGGAACAGACAGGTGTGCAGCCCTGGCAGTGCAGCTAAGGAGAGGCAGCTTGTTCCAAGGCCGCGGATGCTCTGGGGAGTGGGGCCTGACTTGGTCATTGGTCAGGAGCAAAAGGAAATGTCTCAAGACCAGGGACAGCCTAAGGGGTGGGGTTGTGAGCCCAGTCTGACCTGGACCTTCCTGCGGACCAGGTGTAGGGGCCCAGGGTGATGAAACCCTCAGGTGCGGGAGCGTGTGGTAGAGCAGGAGTCCCCCACGATACGTATCATGAAATGCTGTGCATGACCCCAACATGACATCATTGTAAGCTGTGAACTTAAAAAAAGGGCTATGAAAGACTTGTCTGCGGACCGTGTACCTGGTATAATTTGACTTGGGGACTGAAGAGGAAGTGCCAGGAAGGAGGTGCAGGTTTACATTTCTCTTGCTCTCCAGGTTAGAGGTGGGATTTCTTCTCCTACGAGATGATGACCAAGCCAAAGTTCCCTCAATTAATCTCTAAAAAAACTTTTCGGTCATTTGAATAGTCAGTGTGGGTGGGGGAGAATTTGGCTTTTAAAGGACAGAGTCCTGGGCTGACAGAGAGTAACCGGGACCCCCGAGGCGAGCCCACAGTTAAGGGGTGCGTGGGAACCAGGCTTTTCTCGGTAAAGTGAGGAGGTTGTGCTCAGGCAGCTGAAGGTACGTTTCTGACTCTGATATCCAGGGTGGTCCCACAGGGGCACAGGTGCCCTGAGACCCAGCTGCCTTGCTTTTCTGCACCCCGGTGAGCTACAGTGAGCTACAATCCCTACATCCCAGTTCACTCGCTCAGCCCAGCCCCCAGCCCCACGTGCAGCACTGATAACCCCCATGGTCCAAACACCCTCCCTCAGGAATGTCTCCCATCCTCAAATCCATCTTTGCAGCCAACTCTGCCCGTCGTCGTGCCAAGGAAACACAATCTCAGGGTGATGACATGGGCCTTGGATGTGTGCCCGCGGCCCTTGGTGTCTGCTGACCTGGTGGGCGGGGTCCGGGTGGTGGGAAGGGGAGGCCCCTGTCTCCTTTAGGTGCTTCCTTTTATGGACACAGGGCGCTGTGGCTCCCAGGATGGCTGCTCAGATCCGAGTCTGGCTCCTCTCCTTTCACTGACCGCTTGGGGAGCCTGGAGGCAGGGTTGGGCCGGGGTTGAAAAGTTAGAGCTCGTGGCAAAGCCATGAGCCTGGGCTCCCTCCCCCTGCTGCCCCACCTCTGGGCAAACCTGTTCTCCTCCGTCCACCCCCTGGGCATGACTCACCAGCTGCCCTGCTCAGCGTGCAGCAGTGTGTCATTTCCTTATGCCAGGACACCCAGACTTCTAGTGTCCCCCACCACCCCCTGTGACGTGTCTCGTCTGATGGAGAAGGGCTTGAAGGGCTGATTTGTTGTTGGGGGAGGGTGTCACCCGAGGGTGTCTTGCTGTGTTGTTCACCGAGAGATGTTTGGGAGGAGCAGGGCCTGGTCATACTATTTCATGCTTTCCCTGCCACATGGTCACTACCTGGTCCTCCTTCCCCGACACCCTTGGCCAGCCAGCACCCCACCCTCACTGCTGTCCCCCGGAACTGCTCTACTCTCCCCTCCCTTTCTTCTCAACAAGACTTTCCTGGGCCCCGCTAGCCATAGCTGCCCACAGCCTGCACCCCTTCCCAGGGAGGCCAGCGGCATAATGCCTAGCCATGCCATTGGGCCGGAGGTCAAGGACCAGCGTGTGGACACTGACCACCTGGCTGGAGCTTCTCCATCAGACCAGGAGGGGGAGGTGGCAGGCAGGCAAAGACCCATTTTCCACAGAACCCATGACACAAGGGTCAGTGAGTGCTGGCCTGTCTCTGCTCTGCCAGTTCTCGACGCCCCTGGGGCCGTGGGCACTTGGGCTGGGGGATTCTTGGCCTGTCATGGAGAGCAGCCATCTATGTGTGCCTCACAGTGGAAAATGGGTAACACATGTGGTCAACCCCTTCACCCTGGCGCTTCTGTCACCCGGGCCCGGCTAAGGGCCCACCTTGACCTGGGAAGGGCTGGGGAGCACCGGGGGATGAAGTGGAGAGCACATCCCGTGAGAACCACGTCAGGGACTGGGGTTCAGGAGGAAAAGCGAGGTCTGCTTTCTGACATGGGGTGGTGTTAGACCGCACAAGACGTGTTTTGTTGTGTGTGCCCAGAGGGCAGACTCAGGACACTGTGAGAAGTGTGTCTGGGCTGAATGTAGAGGCCCCTGAGGGCCTCTTGGGCTGCTTGGGCTGCTTGGGCTGCGGGTCTCGGCAGCTCTTCCTCCCTGGGCCTCTGCACGTCCTTGAGTAGTGCCCGGCCCTGCCCATGCTCCTGGCATATCTCCGTCTCCCCATCACAGATGCCCTCCCCTGGGCTGGACAGCACCAGGGCCTCACCGGTGCCAACGCCTGGGATGGGTGGTGAGAGGTGAGAGGCCCTGCAAGATCCACCACGTGCCCAGCTGGGTCAGTCACTGAGTGTTTCTGTGAATTCTCACTGGTCACTCCCCCGCACCCCAGGTCCTGTGGGCCAAGATTACTCTCCCTGTGCTGCAGATGAGGAAGTAAGGAAATACCCAAGCCACTGCAGGGCTAAGATTAGCCCCGGCCTGATCTATTCTCGCTTGGGTAGGCACTTGGGTGGGCACCGCGCATGCGCAGCTGGGGTTCCCCAGTGTCCCTGGCCAGTCCCGGCCATCTGACTGCCCGTGTCTCATGGCTGTGCGCGGATCCAGCTTCAACTCCCGTTTTATAAGGCCCAGAATAGCTGGGACTGGGTCTGCGACACAACTGGTAAGTGACAGAGCTCTGCTGCCCAGGTACCCGCAGGCACTGAGGGGCAGCCCCACGGCTGCTGAGCCCGCACTGACCCTTGCACGATCACTGCAGGGCCTTGGCCCGCCGGCCACTCTACCGGCCTGGGTAGAGGAAGGCCCCTCCATTGTCCCAGGCCCCGTGCTAAACACAACACAAGGGTACAAGGATCTCTTCCAAGTTTACAAGGAATCCTGTGGTTTGAAAAAGTGAGCAGAGCATGTTCACAATTACCAAGGTGTGACTCAGGAGCAAGGGCCTCGTGACAGGTGGGACTTGAGGTGGGCTTTGCAGAAAGGAGGCTTGAGCAGCTGGGCCTGTGGAGGCCTGGGGTGCGAGGGCTGCTTCAGCACCACGGGGGCCAAAGTGGATTGTGCCCTAGGATTCTTGAGCTTTTGCTCCTCTCAATGGTCCCTCCCGTGTTCTCCAGCCACCCCTCTATGCAGGGCCCTGGCCCCACACAGAACATTCCACCCACCCCCTTTCTTCTGACTTGACGTGTAGTCTCGCCAAGCCCCACGGGAGTGGAGCAAGTTGTGGGGGGCTGGACGCCAACCTTAGGACACCCCCAGTTCCTCAGGACTCCACCTTGGACCTCCCCATTTATCCCTAGCTATTGTGCCCCCACCCCGCCCCCGTCCAGGGCGTCCTGCCTAATCCACTGCCTCAGCCACCAAATTGCTGCCCAGGTCGTTCCCTGCAAATCTGTGCATTGCCGTCTGCAGTCACCTTTGTCCGCCTTGGCCTCTCTGACTGAGTCCTCGTTCTTGCTGTCTCGCCCACGCTCAGGCTCAGGCTTGTGGCTCGACCTCCCAGTCCACCTCCTTGTTTGCACAGCTCCCCTCCCCGGGGGCCTGGCTTCCCGTCTGGGTGATCTCCGCGGGCGTCCACGGCTCTGCATGTGCCTCGCTGCGCGCCTGCCTCGGCGCCCACCCCCTCTGCCACGTGGAATTAACCGGCGGCCACGTCTGCCTGCCCAGCTCGGGCCTGAGCCCCTTGCTCGCCTCTGCTCTCTGGCCTGGCCACCCACGCGAGGGTGCTGGGGGTCGGCGGGGCTGCTTGTACTCACAGGCCTGCGGTCCATCGGCCCCGGGCTGAGCGGGCAGAGGAGGGCCTGGGGAAGCAGCTGCTCGCACAACTCAGCCTTGGCACCGGGCCGTGCCCCCTCTATGGGAAAAGAGAGCATTTCACCAGAACAGGGGAGGGCAGAGGGCCTGGCCCTTTCTCTGCCATGTGTCGGCTTCTCCGTGCTTCCTTGAGAGACACTTAAGGACGAAGGGGGGACGTGGCTGCGTGTCCAGCTCTGTGACACGGGCAGTTACTTCAACCCCAGTTTCCCTGCACGTAACGTGGCAGGAGAGAATCGTACCCATTGCTTCGGGTTTTTGAGAATTATTACTCGTAACTGGCAGCAAACATCCAAAGGGGGAGGCTGATATGACTGTTCTGGGGGCTGTGGGGACAAGTTGTCGGAAACGTACTTTCCTGTCCAAAGCCAAGAGCTGACCCTGCAGGGAGAGCGGGTCGTGGGGGCGTGGAGGAGGAGCTCGCACACAGGCCAGTCACACCTCCCTTTTCATGTGTTTCCCGGAAACTCTGCCCCAGAAACCTGAGTCCTCTGGCCTGCAGCCCTGCTCCGCCCCCTCATCTCTCCCTGTGCTGGCAAGTTCCACACGTTCCTATGAAACTTCTCAGCGCTTCTCAACTAGAACACGGACCAACCTATATCCACTTCCTGTGGCGGCAGGAAACGTGCGAGCTGCAGGCATGGTGTGGTCTGCAGCTGAGGTTCTCAGAGCCTCAGGGGGCTCCATCCCACCCCAACTCTAGAGTTAGTTCACCCTCCAAGAGGGCAAACCCTCCGGAGAGCCTCCCTCGCTGCCCAGAGCCACCCACCGCCTCTGTCTCCCCATCTGCTGTGATCTGAGTGTCTGCCCCCACAAATCCCTGTGCTGGACAAGCATCCAAGGTGAGGGGGTTGGAGGGGCCTCTGGGGGGCCATTAGGCCATGAGGGTGGCGGCTTTTCCTGGGGGGTCAGTCCCTTAAACATCAGCCCCCGGAGCACCTCCTTCCTCTGCAGCCCGTGAGGACCCAGGGAGAAGTCAGCCCCCAGACAGGGCCCTCCCCGACCATGCAGGCGCCCTGATTGGGGTCTTCCCGACCCCAGAACTGTGCCAAAGTTATAAGCCACCCCCTCGGTGGGCTTTGGTATCGCAGCCGGACCAGTGTGAGTCTTGGCGAGTTATGGCGTGCGCCCCTTCCCTGGGGTGGGGTCCGCTTCTTTCCTGGCCTTGGGTTACCTCCACCCGCTCCCTCCTAGCTCCACCGTGCAGCACCCCTTCCGGGCCAGACTGGGTGCAGGCATTGGGCCCTAGCTCTGCATTGCCCTGGCTACCCAGACTCTGCTCCAGGGAGGCGAGGCGGGAGGCAGCTCCCAGAGGGTTTCTTGGGGTGGGGGTGGGGGCCATTAGACTTCTCTATATGCAAATTGCTCCTGGCTCAACCTGCACCCCTAGGGAGGCCCAAAGTCCCCTTTGAAACTTCCCTGCCTGGAGAGCAGAGTCTGCCTGCTGGGGGCTCAGGCTCAAGTATGTGAGGGTGTTTGTGGGTTTGTGTGTGTGGAGTGGAGAGGGTGCTTGGTGAGCTGCACCTTTAGAAACACCTTGGGGTGGGAAGGTTTGAGCAGGTAGAAGTCCTTGGTGTCAAGTCTCTGAAGTTTTAGCGTAGTCTGGGCCTCTTTCGTTTTTGGAGACTTTCTGGATTAAAAGAACTATCAAAATGGGGCAGCCCCGGTCTTGGTGTAGTTTAAATGTTTACTCTTGCCAGTTGGCAGTTACTCACACACACACACACACACACACACACACACACACACAGAGTGATGGCAGGAATGGGCTCGCTTGGAAATAACGCCCAGGCCACGTCATCCTGGGAGGCCTGGAGCCAGGTGTCCCCTGGCTTTGGAAAGAGCCAGCCCTCCCTGCAGGACCCCCCCACACACACACCCCAGAGGGCACAGGGAGGCAGCTAGAGGGCCTGGCACTTGGAGCAATTAACCAGTGTGTGTCTGGAGGAATCTACTTGGTCTCACTGGGGTGGGGAGGGTCCGAGCCAGCAGCCAGATCGCCGCCTGGACACAGAGGCAGCTGCCGGCCCCTCCATCACACCACGCCCCACCCCTGTGAGTGCAGTAGGCGTTGATGGAGAAACTCTGTTGGGGTCTCTTGGGGACAAAGAGGACCCCGTGGACATATGTGATGAAGTCAAACCCAGCTGGGCCTGCGTGGTGGCTGGATTGGCCCAGACCCGCCACTGTTCTTGTTCCAGTTTCAGGCAGCTGGGACCTGCTTTCACTTAAGGTGGGCGAGTGGGTGACGGGCTGGTGGCTTGGTTGTTTCCGAGGAAGGCAAGAGAGGGGAACAGCTAGCTCTCTCCCCAATTCCCAGGCCTCTGCCTCTCCTCTCTGACATGGACCCTCTTCTTGGTCACCCGTGATGCGTCCTGCAGGGCCAGTCCAAAAGGAGTGCCCGCCTTGGCCTCAGCTTGCTCCTCTACGAGGTTGTCCATCGTGCACCAGCGTCTATCAACCCTAGCCACCTGCTGTGTCTGCAGACGAGCTAACCTTTCAGGTCGAGTCCTCCTTGCCCGCTTACCTCTGCCCAGTGCGACTTTCTGTCATGCCTACGCTTGCATGCAGACCCTTGCTGTGGCCTGCGCCACACTCCCTGGTGCTGAGGGGGCATCTCTGTCTCTCCCGTGCCCAGAGCTGCTGGGGCATTTCACCTGTCTCTATCACACCTGGCCTGCAAGGGAACAACGGACCCTGTGGCTGGGAGGGACATGCTCCAGGAGTGTCCTCCTTCTCGGCCCTTCTCTGCGCCTTGCCTCATGCGGGGCTGTTCCAACCTTGCCTCCACAGGAGCTCTCCCTGTCATTAGAGGCGTTTCTCGGCCGATCTATTTTGGAGCTGCAGCTGGTTGTTTCTCAGAATAAACAGAGCTGTGATGTTGGGAGAACAGGAGAAAGGAACAGCATCTCCTCCCTGGACCCCCCAGTGATTTCCGCCCTCCACTTCCCGCTTCCTGAAGGCCGCGCCCCTGCACCCTGTGGCCGGCTCTGTGGCTCTTCTGCCACCTTAGGGTCATGAGCGCCCCTGGGCTTGGGGGGCTCCAGCAAACCAGGTGACATGGGAATTCCCACGTGGCGGACTTAAGCCAAGGAAGAGCTGGTCCAGCAGCCTGGTGCTTGATGGAAAAAGTGTGGCCCAGCGGTGGGGCGGGGGGCAGGTGTGGGCTGTGCGGGGCTCAGAGTCCCAGACTGGGGGTTCAGGTAGGAGCCCTAATACCCTGACCGAGCAGCTGCGTGGAGGCTTCCTTGCAAGGTTGTTGTTCCGGCGCGGTGTTGCACTGAGAACGTTGATGCGGGGGCGCAGGGACACAGACAACTCAGACTAGCTTTTGTTCTGGACAAAACAGAGGTGGGTTGCCAGGAATCAAGGACTGAATGGACTTCCGTGAGATGCTTTCCTGATACCTGGGGGCCGTCGGAGGCTCTGAGGGGTGAGGAGCCGATGATGAGATGGCGTAGGCCGTCACGCTGGAGGCCACGTGAGGACCCGCCGTCCCCGTGTGTCTTCTCCTGCAAGCGTGTCTGACGTGCATCTCGGCCACACGCCCCTCACTAGCCGGGACCCGTCTGCCACCTGCCCTCCACCCCCACCCGTCCAGGCCGGTGCCTCTCCTGCCCCTTCCTGAGCTCCAGCTGTCCCCCGTGGGAGCTCCCCTGACCCACACCTGCCCTCTGTCTGCCGGTCTGCTGCGAGGCTCGACCCCCTTGGGGCCACAGAGCCCCATGTGAGGAGGTAGCAGTTTCTAGAAATTATGTATTTCCTCAAAACCTTCCTCTCCCCACCCCCAGGGTCGAGAGAGGTCACTCTCCCCTCTGTGGCTCTCGGATCTGGGCCCTCAGCTTGGGCGTCCAGACCAGTCACTCTCCCAAGGCAGTGCCGAGAAAAGGGGCTGGGCCCAGGCCCCTTGGTAGGTTTCCTCTCCAACTTGTGTTGATTTTTAAAGATGACACTGTGGTTAGACTGAACTTATTCTTCAGCAACCTCAGTGGACAGCTTGGTAGCAGAGTGGCTGAGGCGGGGTGGGTGAGGGTGCCAAGCTGTGAGGGAGGGACACTGGGGGTGCCCAGCAGGAAATGAATGTCGAGGTGTGTATGTTACGGTGGTCTCCGGAAATGGGCCCGGCTCCTCCATGCGGGTGGGGGTAGAGAGGTGGACATGGGGCCGGACTGCATGGTTTAAACTTGAGGGAACCACTTCTCAGTGCTGCGACCCTGGGCTGGCCCTTTAGTGGCTCTGAGATCCCATTCCCTCATCTGTAAGGGGGGGACCCTAGCAGTGTGGGTTTAAAGAGAGTCCATTGTTTGATCCAGGGCTGAAGGGACGCTCCGCTTTCTCCCTGCCGAGCACCGGGCCAGGCACGCGTAGGCAGCAGGGAGACCTGCCAGCCCCTGCCCTCCTGGCGCTCATGTGTTCTGATAAGGGGACAGGGTGGTATGGATGAAACAAGACGCGATATTATATTTTAAAATGTATATTGTCTATACATGTGTAGTTAGACTTTCTGGGTGTTTCAGTGAGAATATTTCTGGATGCAATTAACATTGCGTGTTCTTAATGCAGTGTCCCCCCCTAAGGTGGGCAAGCTCATGCAATCTGTTGACAGTCTGATTAAACAAAAAGACTGTTCCTTATCTTTTTGCCCCCACAGTCTCTTACTGCCCCACAATAAGAGAATTCTCTCTGCCTGAAGGCCTTCTAAGTAAAACATTAGCTTTTTCCTGCCTTTGGAACTCACACTGAAACATCGGCTCTTTCTGAGTCTCGAGCCTGCCACCTTTAACCTAAAGTCACAACATCACATCCTGGGTATCCTGTTGGCTTCCTGCTCGCCCTGGACCTGTTTGCCTCCATCATCGGGTCATTCGCTAAGGCTGGAGGGGGTCTTCACCCATGACAGCCCAGGAGAGGCTTACCTGGCCTAAAAGTGCCTCTGGCCAGCAGCATCCGGGGTTCACCGGGCAGTAGGAAAACCCAGGTCAGCAGTGGGGTCCCCCTGAACAGCTCTCTGGACCCTCCTAACCCTGCTCAGACACACAAGGAAGCCTCAGTGCTTCGACCTTCGAGCTGGGCAGAAGCTGGGCTGAGGGCACCTCATGCACGCCCCCCCCAAGTTTGTCCAACATGGGCAGCTGGTGCCCTCCCTGGCATCAGCCTTGCCAGCTGTGATTAGCCAACAGCAGCCCGCTGTAGATCATCCCTCCTGTTCAAATGAAGATTCCTGCTGCTTTGTGCCACCCACTGCCTCTGAGTGTGGACCTAGGCCGCTGGGATTTGGAAGTCTCCCCCGAAGAGCATCCAGGGTCTGGAAACCACCAGGCTGGGTGGCCTCCAGCACTAAATCCTACAGCCGGTTGGCCCAGGCATCAATCCCTCACAGAGGCCGTGCGGACCAAGGAAGCGACTTCCAGCTACAGCTGCTGGGCCGGAAGGGTGGATCCAGAGCCTAGACCTGCTACCTCAGTCAGCCGGGACCCTCTCACAGGAGAGCCCAGCCTGGGGATTTCTGCACAGGAACTTATTTCTCACATTCTGGAGGCTGGACGTTCCAGGTCAGGGTGCAAGCAAGGGCAGCTTCTTCTGAGCCTCTCTCTTCTGGCTTGCCCATGGCTGCCTCCCAGCTGTGTCCACTCGTGGCCTTGCCCGGGTATCCACATTTCCCCTCCTGTGAGGACGCCGGTCAGGCTGGATAGGCCACACCGCAGCCCCTGACCCTCCCACGGGGCCATGTTCTTTCCTCTGCTCTGCACCCTGGGTGCCATCTCCTCCCTGCGCCGGCGCTCCGCTCCGCCCCTCCCCTGAATGGAAGCAGCAGCGTGTCTGTCCCCCTTTGCCATTCTGC